AGTTGATATTGTGATTGGAAAACTTAGACAGACCAATCAGGAGTATTTTCTGAATTTAATGTTAAAATCCTAAAACTCCTTTCCACAGATCGAAGTGCTGCTGACATCGCCACAGATGTGTGAGTTTAGGATGTTCATTAAGTCAATGTGAATATGTTCCCCTTTTATTTTAACTCTTTCGGATATTTTATTGCTTTCTCCAAAATGACAGTCTCGTGAAAAACTATACAAAACAACGGCTTGAGGAGTGAAACAGTTTGAAGGACCTACAATTCATATTTCCAGGAACAACATATTTTCATGCAGAACAGTCACACGTGATATCGACAATCTCTATCACTACAGAAATATGTTATAGATCTGCAATATGTTACTCATGCTTGATTAACAGGTCGTGTTTGACATGGTTTTTCACAATATTAGGATGTTATTGCATGTAAATTCATTCACATCATTTATAAGAAGCCATCGAACAACATAATTTAAAACGAAAAAGATGTGTTCAAACCAGTTTGTTCAAGGTTAATTCAAATTTTCAAAATAGCCGCCAAGTCAGTCATATTGAAGAACGTATTTAGTGCCTTGAAACACACTTTCTTAAAAAAAAATGTAATACATTATGTCGTGTAAGGCTGGGTAGTTTGACTTAACATATACAGATGTACCGTTATGATACATGTTGACCCTTTTCATACATATCGTGCTATCAGAGTCTCCCATAATGCAAACTCTACTCTGTTATCAGAGTCTCCCATAATGCAAACTCTACTCTGTTATCAGAGTCTCCCATAATGCAAACTCTACTCTGTTATCAGAGTCTCCCATAATGCAAACTCTACTCTGTTATCAGAGTCTCCCATAATGCAAACTCTACTCTGTTATCAGAGTCTCCCCATAATCTGTTATCAAACTCTACTACCTGTTATCAGAGTCTCCCATAATGCAAACTCTACTCTGTTATCAGAGTCTCCCATAATGCAAACTCTACTCTGTTATCAGAGTCTCCCATAATGCATACTCTACTCTGTTATCAGAGTCTCCCATAATGCAAACTCTACTCTGTTATCAGAGTCTCCCATAATGCAAACTCTACTCTGTTATCAGAGTCTCCCATAATGCAAACCCTACTCTGTTATCAGAGTCTCCCATAATGCAAACTCTACTCTGTTATCAGAGTCTCCCATAATGCAAACTCTACTCTGTTATCAGAGTCTCCTATAATGCAAACTCTACTCTGTTATCAAGTCTCCCATAATGCAAACTCTACTCTGTTATCAGAGTCTCCCATAATGCAAACTCTACTCTGTTATCAGAGTCTCCCATAATGCAAACTCTACTCTGTTATCAGAGTCTCCCATAATGCAAACTCTACTCTGTTGATTCCCAGAAACTGCTGAGTTAACTGAGGAAACCCAACTCTGATTATATGATGACGCCATATGTTTGTTAGTACATTTTATTCTCAACACTTGGAAAATATTTGAATGTGAATGCTGACAACAACTATTGCTAAGTGGATGACAGTTTAAACTCATGATGTGGGGAACATCTAAACTGCTGTGTCACAGTCATAGTGTGGGGAACATCTTAACTCCTGGGTCAATGTCATGGTGTGGGGAACATGTAAACTGCTGGGTCATAGTCATAGTGTGTGTGTGTAGGGGGGGGAGACATCTAAACTGCTGGGTCAAAGTCATGGTGTGGGGAACATCTACACTGCTGGGTCATCGTCATGTTGTTGGGAACATCTAAACTGCTGAGTCAATGTCACGGTGTGGGGAACATGTAAACTGCTGAGTCAAAGTCATGGTTTTGGGAACATGTAAACTGCTGAGTCAAAGTCATGGTGTGGGGAACATCTAAACTGCTGAGTCACAGTCATAGTGTTGGGAACATCTAAACTGCTGGGCCAATGTCATTTTGTGGGGAACATCTAAACTGCTGGGTCTAAAGTCATGGTGATGAAAACATCTAAACTGCTGGGTCAAAGTCATGGTGTGATGACCTTCTAAACTGCTGGGTCTAAAGTCATGGTGTGGGGAACATCTAAACTGCTGGGTCTAAAGTCATGGTGTGGGGAACATCTAAACTGTTGGGTCTCAAGTCATGGTGTTGGAAACATCTAAACTGCTGGGTCAAAGTCATGGTGTGATGACCTTCTAAACTGCTGGGTCTAAAGTCATCCCACATCCAAAAAAGTGACACTGACAAAGTAGTTCAGATGTTTCACGAGATCAGGAGATTTACCAGGTTGTTTTGATGTCCCCACAACACGACTTTCTACCAGCATTGTAATACCCCACACCACCAGGTACCAGTGACCATGTCGAAAAGGGCTAAATGTTAATTCAACTTACCTCGGAAGTCGATATGTGTCTAAATTGACGATCCGTACCTGAGCCATGAGCCAGTCGACAGTTCAAGGCGTCCGTGGTAAAGGTGTACGAATTGCAATTTGCTGTCTCCTTACAAAGATCGGCACACATTCCAATTCCAATTTGATTTACCCAGTATAGTTTGAGAAAGGGCTTGCGTAGTTTCATGGTAGTAGTTAAACTGCCCCTTAGCTTTTTTTTTATTGAAGCAGTGGCTTGCACTGGCGGAATAGGAATATTACTTTCTGAATGATTTAGAAATATCAAAGCGAGCAGAACAAAGCAGAGAAAATATGCAACCTTCATCACGGATCGGCTCGTTTCTCGAAGTGATATTACACGTACTACGGTTGGCGGGGGCATCTCAAAGTTCATAGCATATTTAACATATAACCGGGGGCATCTCAGAGTCCATAGCATATTCAACAGCTATCCGGGGGCATCTCAAAGTTCATAGCATATTTAACATATAACCGGGGGCATCTCAGAGTCCATAGCATATTCAACAGCTATCCGGGGGCATCTCAAAGTTTATAGCATATTTAACATATAACCGGGGGCATCTCAGAGTCCATAGCATATTCAACAGCTATCCGGGGGCATCTCAAAGTTTATAGCATATTTAACATATAACCGTGGGCATCTCAGAGTTCATAATACATTCAGCAGCAATCCGGGGGCATCTCAAAGTTCATAACACATTCAACAGCTATCGGGGGGCATCTCAAAGTTCATAACATATTCAACATATACCCGCGGGCATCTCAGAGTTCATAACACATTCAACAGCTATAAGGGGGGCATTTCAAAGTTCATAACACATTCAACATATAACCGGGGGCATCTCAAAGTTCATAACATGTTCGACATATACCGGGGGCATATCAGATTTCATAAAACATTCAACAGCAATCCGGGGGCATCTTAAAGTTCATAGCATATTCAACATATAACCGGGGGCATCTAAAAGTTTATAACACATTCAACATATAACCGGGGGCATCTCAAAGTTTATAACACATTCAACATATAACCGGGGGCATCTCAAAGTTTATAACACATTCAACAGCGATCCGGGGGCATCTCAAAGTTTATAACACATTCAACAGCAATCCAGGGGCATCTCAAAGTTTATAACACATTCAACATATAACCGGGGGCATCTCAAAGTTTATAACACATTAAACAGCAATCCAGAGGCATCTCAAATGTTCTAAAAACATTCAACAGCAATCCGGGCCATCTCAAAGTTCATAGCATATTCAACATATAACCGGGGGCATCTCAGAGTTCATAACACATTCAACAGCAATCCGGTGGCATGCCAAATGTCCATAAAACATTCAACAGCAATCCGGGGCATCTCAAAGTACATAGCATATGCAACATATAACCGGGGCCATCTTAAAGTTCATAACACATTCAACAGCTATCCGGGGGCATCTCAAAATTCATGACACATTCAACAGGTATCCGGGGGCATCTCAAAGGTCATATCATATTCGACAGCTCTCCAGAGCCAGATGACTTCAATAATGAGTTGCACAACAAAATGCACAGGGCCCTTTTCCACAAATCGATCTTAGCAGTACGATGATCATAATTCTAACATGAACTTAATCGTGTAATGCTAAGTGGTTTGTTTGTCGCACTGGACCCGTTCCATTGTATATTTATGTTAGGGTACTTTGAAGAAAGTCGCGATGGCCACGAATGTAGGTTCAGCAGAGCATCGACAACAGTGGATAAAACACATGCGTCTGTCAACGTTTCATCTTACACGTGGAGCTGGGGTTTACACGTGGCGCTGGGGTTTACACCCGGAGCTGAGGTTTACATCTTACACGTGGAGCTGGGGTTTACATCTTACACGTGGAGCTGGGGTTTACATCTTACACGTGGAGCTGGAGTTTACATCTTACACGTGGAGCTGGGGTTTACATCTTACACGTGGAGCTGGGGTTTACACGTGGAGCTGGGGTTTACACGTGGAGCTGGGGTTTACACGTGGAGCTGGGGTTTACACGTGGAGCTGAGGTTTACATCTTACACGTGGAGCTGAGGTTTACATCTTACACGTGGGGCTGGGGTTTACATCTTACACGTGGAGCTGGAGTTTACATCTTACACGTGGAGCTGGGGTTTACATCTTACACGTGGAGCTGGGGTTTACATCTTACACGTGGAGCTGGAGTTTACATCTTACACGTGGAGCTGGGGTTTACATCTTACACGTGGAGCTGGAGTTTACATCTTACACGTGGAGCTGGGGTTTACATCTTACACGTGGAGCTGCGGTTTGCACGGGGCTTTATGTCGTATTACAAGTAGTTAAAAAGCAACATGAACTTTCATGGGTCAGCGAGGACAAGGACAAAAGCTTTTGTGACAGTGCCAGCACAACACCATATGCTACCAGAGTTTCATAGTCAACCAAGCCACAGTATATTGACTCTGACCCGAGCAGTTCCTGTTCCATACTCTTGGTGCAGGGGTCAGGCAGGGAGACAACAAGTACCGCCTTTAAACGTCTTTTGATATGGTGTGACCTGGAATTGTATCAGCGATGTGTCTGCTCGTAAGGCAAATCGTCCATCCACTAAACCAAAGAGGCGATCCACAGACTTGTCTTGGGGATGGGTGGGGTCGAATTGGAATGGGTGGAACCGAAATGAGCCGGGATAGATGGGGCGGCATGGTGTGTGTGACCGAGGGAGCTATATGTTCATATACCGTATCATTGATACACAGCGCCATTGAGGGGTTTATTTGCTGATGTTTGTCAAGATCCCGTATTGTACGAGAAAATAGCAAATTAAGTGACTATACGTCCCATTCACAAACGGACAAATGGGCAACTCTGTTTGGCTCTGTGCCGACAATGTGTTTATCAACAATTCATGGAAGTATTATCAAGGACCTACTGTTCCAGGATGAACCTATTCCGAGCGAGCACAACACACAGATAGCACTGCTTATATTGATAAAAACACCCTTTAGTGTGAGAACATTGTTGAGTTTGGAAATGTAATGATAAAGTGATACAATACACAATAGCATAGGCAATAAACAATCTTTATCTGCTCGAAATATCCCATTAGTCGATAACCCTGATTAGTTAATGAAGCCAAAGAGTAGTGTGGTCGCTGTAGATTTGGTTTCTTTCGTGTTTGAATCATTCTTTACCTTGTGGTGGAATGATCTCTCTTTCTCTCTATCTCTCGTTCCGCGAAGATCCGGGTTGGAATTGATCTTCAGTAACCCATGCTTCTCGTAAGGGACGTAAATAGAGAATAGACATACATCTTCCACTGAGCAAAAGCATCAATCAGAAGTAAGTGCACTGATTAGTTGTCCCTTTATGGGTTATCTGTTCATTTCCGCTATTTAACCCTGCTGAAGTCATTCGCTTATTAGAGTATTGAGGTGTCGCGACCTACTGAGCTGCGGAAATTGTATGTAACGGTTGGTTGGTTGTTTGATGCCGCACTCGGCAATATTCTCTATGACGGCGGTCTGTAAATAATCGAGTCTGGATCAGACAGTCCAGTGATAAACAGCATGAGCATCGATCTACGCAACTGGGATACGATGCGAGTGTCAACCAAGTCAATGAACCTGACCACCCTTTCCCGTTAGAATGTATTCTTACAAGGGGATATTTATAAATTGCTAATATTTGTTTAGCGCCAATATCAAAAGTGCTTTTGTTTTTTCCTCGATCATTGGATGTCAATCTCAAGCGGCACATCGTGTTATCAGTCTCAACTCCGAGGGGATCATACGGCTGCAAAAATATGTGTTTAGTCATTATGTACAGTTAGTTTATATTTTGTTTTCACTGCAGGTGTGTTGCACATAAACGAAGTTGACTCTGACAATTCCAATATATGTGCACACAGCTACTATCCCTATTTTAATACCACATGTGAAGATAGACCTTTGTGCTGAGGCTACACAATTTTATAAGAATGACACATGACCTTGCGAATCGATATCGAGATAACCGACCTCCAGCTGTTGAGTGAGTAACATCTGCATGTAGACCATCCTTCAGTCTGTCTGCAAATACAGTACGGCAAATGCACAAGGGAACGGTCGTGTCAAACAGAATGTTTGAGATGAAGTACTTGTATTTCCTACTGGTAAGCAATGCCATACGTTGTGTCAACTCGTTGGTTTCCTTCCTACACTATTATTTTGCTATAATAGTTGGGTTAGGTATTTGGTCAAGGAAATCCTATGTATTTTAATCCAAACTTCCATGCCCCAGGGCTCAAGCATTGAACTAAGCCTCACCTCTAATACACAGACCTTTTACGTAACCAAATTTCACCATTAACAATTATTAATGGCTATTTATAAAGCCCTGTATCCAGGCACGTGCATTCTCAAGGCGCTAACTCACTATTACCCTGTTAACCCAAGCTGCCTGTGAGGCGCTAGAAGGTTAAAAGTCATACTGACCTATCCCACCGGGTACCCATTTACAGCTTGCTGAACAGAGATGATTTGTGAAACAAACTTGAGACCACATGTGTTATATGTGCTTTGCTGTGAGGGAGGACTGATATCCTAGAAACTCGTTAGGGTCAAGCTGCCAAACACGGTCACCCATCCAACAACTCTCCGTGACCAATTCCCCTAGTTATGTGTGATACACGCCCCCTGCACCTTGTTTTTTCTGTCTCCTCAGCTGCTAACCCCGTTTTTGCTGAGGGGCATAGCTGCAAGCTCGGAGAGAGGTATGTTATTATTCCATTTTTTAAATTGTTAAATATATCATTGGTTAACATGTTACAGAAACCTATGTTTTGCTCCCATAGATTACACCTGATGACGTAACAATGAAAAACATCAAAAACTGATTTTACTTACTGTAAAAAGGTTAATTGTGTGTATTGCTGTGTCTATTTTATCATTTTTGCTCTTATGTGTATATGTTATGCCAACGTACAGCCAAGCCCTATAGTCGTGAAATGAACAAGATTCTCCAACAAGATATGTGCCTCTTTTCTGATCTCCAGTTGTGTCCTGCTGGCCGGGCGCCACTGAAGGGCAACGATGGAACAGATCTCTATTGTGGACTCGGTTCCTCGGGGAACTGCCCTGTACACAGCTTCTGTAATGTCGACCCTGTTGACAGATTTGCTGTTTGTTGCCCGAACAAGTAAAATACACTGATTTATTGTTATAGATATCATCAAAGTCTTTGTTATCAATTCTTAACAGTTGACTTTCGTTATTATTAACATAAACGAACCATGTCTTAGTTTGATGAGTATATTGCAGAGTTTTATCTGTTATTCAAGGTACATACTGTTCTGGTTTCAAAAACGTTTGTACTCTTTGTACTTTTGTAATATCTTGAATTATTGTGTGAGGTACATTGGCAGGACTGAAAGAACATGTTAATTGCAACTGACGAAAACGAATTAATAGATTAATTCTTATTTTCAATAGCTTGAAAATCCATGTATTGCAAAAAATATTTTGAAAAAAGTTCACTACGAATACTCGTTAAGTATGTTTTAAGTCACATTTAATGTACATTTGCATTTTATAATTATAGACTGCTTTCTCCATAAACAATATCATAAAGGCAAGGAAAGAGGCTGAACATTATTTATGTCGTTATCATATGGTCCACAATGTCACCTACATGGTACCCCGGGTGGATTTACGCCATCCCTTCGGCAAACGTTGATTGCTGTAAAGCTTATGTCAAACGTTGATTGCCGTACAGCTTTTTTCAAACGTTGATTGCCGTATAGCTTATCCAAACGTTGATTGCCGTACAGCTTATCCAAACGTTGATTGCCGTATAGCTTATCCAAACGTTGATTGTCGTATAGCTTATCCAAACAATTAAAATTACCACATATACCACGTTTACAACCACCTAAAATAAGAAATACTTTCCTTCCTTTCTTTCTTTTCACACACACGCACACACGCACGCACGCATGGAGACACACACGCGCGCACACATGCACATTCAGTTTTACTATCTGAAATTGTAAAGACAATAAAATGGTCCATGATGGTTGCGCCAAATTATCCAATGAGGAGCCTATGAAATTCCAACCAATTAACTCGGGCTTAAGGAAGTCGTGGATAGGTCAGAGATGACAAGATAACAAGTCTTAATAAAACAAACCTCCAAAACAAGTGTTTGTTCTGTAATTGACCGAAAAACTGCCTTGTTGCCTTACAGTTTAGAAATTGCTGTGATAAAATGCTTGTTAGTCCCGTTTAAGCCAGCAAAATAAACACAGACTAGTCTATAATATTCAATTGTATACTGAATAAACAAGGTTACAATGAATGACAGTACAGATTGCTAATACAAATACTACAGGCTCACAAATCTAAAATATTGGGTCACAAATCTAAAATACTGACTGACCAAAGTCTTGATATTCCCAGTGAAAACAGATGTACTGATTGAAGATTGTTAACAGCTGCTGAAAGTTCAAACGGTCGAGCTTGAAACGTCAAATGTTGGCAGACAGAAGAGCGAAAATCCAAAGTATTCCCAATCCCACCGTCTTCCATCAAAAACACCGTAAGCGGAACAAACAAAGGGGAGGCAACCCCCAAACGAACTCTTTACAAGTGAACTTGCATAGCTTAAGTTCAAGGTGTGAGTTTAAATCCACACTCGGCGCTCTAAACTTTTGTGACCCACAACAACTAAAAGTTAAGTAGTGTGACATTATAATTAGCAAAAACACATACTCATAACAGTTGCAACAGTGTTTGGGAAAAGTCCCAGCTGATGATCAGCACGGCAATTAATGGATGTAGGTAAGCTTCTGTATGTCCGAGCTATGTTTCTGAAAATCACAGTATGAATGTTCATTGATACAACTACTTGAGATGTTGAAGCTACTTGTTACCAATGGGTTCATGGGTACAACTACATGGGTGTCCCACTGCTGTTGCACTAGATGTCGGATGTAACTTCTAACAACAAGCTTATAGTCACTGTAAGGCATCAGCAGCAGAATCAGGCATTGAGTTACCCGCAGTTCCAAAATGGTAAGAAACAGAAGAAGCTACGTGACTACCCACTATTTAGATGACATGTTAGTTCCACTCTCCATGTTCGTTCCACTCTCCATTGCGTTGGTGCTTGACACTTATGTATGAAATATATTCTGCCACATCTTGATATAGCTTTCCTCTGGTATTTATTTCTGTATTTTTGGATTATATTCTGCCACATCTTGATATGGCTTTCCTCTGGTATTTATTTCTGTATTTTTGGATTATATTCTGCCACATCTTGATATGGCTTTCCTCTGGTATTTATTTATGTATTTTTGAATTATATTTGCCACATTTATGGCTTCCTCTGCATTTACTTATGCATTTTGATTATATTCTGCCACATCTTGATATGGCTTTCTTCTATGCATTTTTGATTTATTCTGCCACATCTTATGGTATTTTTATGGCTTTTTCCGGTATTTATTTATGTATTTTTTGGATTATATTTTTGCCTTGATATGGCTTTCCCTCTGGCATTTATTTATGTATTTTTGAATTATATTCTTGATATGGATTATATTTCCTCTGGTATTTATTTATGTATTTTGGATTATATTCTGCCACATCTTGATATGGCTTTCCTCTGGTATTTATTTATGTATTTTTGAATTATATTCTGCCACATCTTGATATGGCATCTTTTTCCTCTGCATTTACTCAATGTATTTTGATTATATTCCGCCACATCTTGATATATTTATTTATGTATTTTGGATTATATTCTGCCACATCTTGATATGGCTTTCTTCTGGTATTTATTTATGTATTTTTGGATTATATTCTGCCACATCTTGATATGGCTTTCCTCTGGTATTTATTTATGTATTTTTGGATTATATTCTGCCACATCTTGATATGGCTTTCCTCTGGTATTTATTTCTGTATTTTTGGATTTATTTCCCACTCTTCAGTCTTGGTTCTATTCATTAATACGAATGCTAACATTAGAAGGAAATTATGGTTTTAAGATGGGATTCCAACCCGTACGAGCCACATTCGGTCTACGTAGTCGGGACGTCGACGTGCAGGGATCCTGCCATGATGGGGCGAAACAAGCCCTGGTTATGCTTATCCCAATGACTCAATGAGTCCATTTCAATTCTGCTCTTTATTTTAATATTGTCAGGTCATATACTAGCCACATAAAGAAACTGTGTATTGTCAAATATTATCCCAGTTGATAAGTACGATAACAATGTCAAAGGTACATATAAACTTTAATGGAGGGATCATGAGACCATAACAAGTCGGGAGAATTTCAATTGAAAAGTCAATCACAATGACGTCACGAGTCAACAAGCGGGACAGGGGTCAAACGACCATGCCACAAGCTCAATAACGGGTATGTCCACCATCGGCATTGAGAACAGCAGTGCATCGACGACGCATAGAGCCTATCAAACGTGCAAGGAAGGCTTGTGGGATGTCACGCCTGATTCTCTCGAGTTCTGTTGCAAGGTCAAGGACGTTATCTGGCGGATGAGGAAGACGGCGTAGACGTAGATCCATCTCGTCCCAAAATTGCTCTATCGGGGAGAAATCCGGTGAATTTGCAGGCCAAGGCAGTAAGTCAACGTTATGGTGTTGCATGAAATTCATAGCAACTCTTGCCGTATGAGGGCGGGCATTGTCTTGTTGGAATGTTAACCCAGGGCCATGACGTTGCAGAAAAGGAATTGCCACCGGTCGAAGAATCTGATCCCTGTAGCCCACACCAGTTAAGTTGCTCTGAACAATCACTAAAGGAGTTATTTGGCGTGCTGTTATTCCACCCCAAATCATCACGGAACCACCACCAAAGCGATTCCTCTCCAAGACACAGGCCTGTGCATAACGTTCTCCCACGCGTCTATAGGCACGTTGACGTCCACCACTATGGGAAATGTTAAACCTGGACACATCTGTAAAAACAACATGTCTCCACCAAAACAAGGGTCTGCGGACATGATTTCGGCACCACATTCGGCGAGCTTGTTGATGACGTTATGTCAGGATAGGCCGTATGGCGGGACGTCGTGGTCTGATCCCGTGATGACGTAAACGTTGTTGAACTGTGTTGGGGTGGATACGGCGAAGTCCTGGGATGGTTCGGGCAATCATCACTGCAGTCTGAAACCTGTGGCGAAGATGGGTCAGCCTTATCCATCTGTCCTGTCTTGGCCTTGTTACACGTGGACGTCCAGAACGTGGCCGATCGATGACGTCATTTGTGTTTTGGTAGAGTCTCACCAGTGCAGAAATGGATATTCCCCCACGGTGGCAGTGGAAATGTGCAGCCACTTGTCGTTGAGACATTCCTCCATTGGACCATCCCATTGGCCTCATGACGTTGTGCATACGTCAGCCTTGGCATGCTATGCGTTTCAATAGCCGTTTAATTTTTTGAACGATCGCAAGGGCAGGGGTTGAGCTTTCCAAAGTGACAGTATTGTGTGGCATTCATTTGCTCTGTTTCTCTTTCCCGGAATGCACGTGCAACAACGTATTGCACGTCTCAAGGATGAACCCACTGACGTCACGGAACGTGGCACATGCATGCATACATGTCACTAATCTCTGAGTTTAAATCCTTATGTGTATACACAGGTTTGATACATTTAGATTTTAAATTTGTGTATGCACAGTTTCTTTATGTGCCTAGTATATATTCAATCACTTATCATTGTGCATATAACGCTCCAAGTCAACAGGAAGCATTCATTATCAGTCTTTCCTGGGGAGGAAGTGGAGACGGATGAGTCACCACTATCACAAAGACTCAGGCTATGTCAAATGTTCACTGCAACAAGGCAGGAAGCACCTCCAAAGGCTGCGGTAAAATCTAACAAAAGACACTTCAGTGTGTGAAAAAAATAAAACTGAACTAATATCAGAATTATTATCGTGAAGGTTATGATACAGTGGACTAGATACCACATACAATTGTTTATAAAATAACAGAAATACATGTGTTTAGCATTCTGTTATTTGTAGAAACCTTAGACCTTTCACAACACCATACGAATAGACTAGGGGATTAAATCGTTCATTCGTCTATATATTTTGAAAACATTGCGATGACAAAATATTTTTTTCAGAATGTTATACCTACATAGACACATTCAGAACAAAATGATTTGCTGGCAGAGGTCATCTGTCATAGGGAGGCGCAGACGAGACCGCATCTTGTATGTGCAAATTCATTAATGTGACAAATTTTCTGAAACGTTTCGTGATCTAAAGGGTTTTGATAGCACTAACACTCGACTACTAACGACTTCACATATCAAAAAAAAAGAAAAAAAGAAAGAGTCACAGATGACTGCGACGAAAATTTGGAATGCACTTATTTTCCATACAGTTAGTAAAACACTTTTGTGTCCTCAGTATTACTGAATAAACACACTGAGGAGGAAACAAACTTCTCACTCGAATGAAATATCCGGGTTTTCGTCCACCCTTACCTGTTTCAGTATCGTTTATGTCTTACATGCGGTTACCTCCCCTGATGAGATCACAGACACCGTTGGAGACCGAGAGACTAAGCGCATAAACTGTTGTAGGCATCCTTTTCATTATTGTGAAAACATACACAACACATACTATGGATTCAGGTGCGTGAGTTATGAGTTATAGTCACATCGACAATATTTCAGCCAATCGTGACTAAAACAGGCCATACGTTAATAATACACACTCTTTTTTGTGTGGTGTTCATTTTAACATTGAAGCTAAATCGTCAAGCACTTAGCCTCTGTTGGATTATCAAGAAAGGGTTTTGGGTGCGTTCTCTCAGCGAAACACAGTTGTCTTGTCCTAATCCTCGCTTAAAACCATACAGATAAGTCGGACATTCTTGGCCGTGATTCTCTCGTCACGATGAATACACAATGGCGGATGTTCCCCTGCACACGTCCACCACCAGCAGCAGAAATGAACGGTTTAATTTTTAACTCCAAGAGGAACGGTTTTTCTCACAGATTATAGGAATTAAGTCCTCGGTCAAAAAGTCCTTGGTTAAAAAGTACAGGTAAACAGTTCTCGGAAGAAGGAAAAATTGCTGTTCAACATTAAATACCGTGAGATTTGACGCCGTGATTGTATTACGAGGTGAGGTGAGGTCCGTCAAAACCCATAGCTACTCGTATCAATTTCATAACGCCTTTATGCTCCTATTCTCATTCATATAGCTTCCACGTAGCCTCTGTCCTGTCACTGTCGACGGTAACACCACTTTCACTTCAACACTGAATACAACCTTTATTGATACAATAATACAAACAATTACAATGCAGCTTGAGCTCTTTTATGATTTTAAATATATGCATTGGGTGATATAAGGTATCAATGTTAGCTACTGACATCACGGTGAAATCAGTGTATGAGTTTCTGATAATTGACACTTTTATTCTTGTACACAGAAGTGACAAAACCCTTTCCAGATTCATAAGAAATCTCTGCCAAAAGCACAGTGGATTGTACAATTGTGACTATATCATGAGCAGATATTTGTTTCAACAGTATTACAGCTGTATGATGTTTTGTAAACAAATCAAGTCTGAACCAGACAATCCAATGATTGTCACCATGTGATACGATAACAGAGCATGTGTTGGTGAATCACTATGAAAGGTAATGATACCAGGTGTTCGAGAAAAAGTGAGCGTATCCTGCCCCACCGGTGACACCCGTCATTAGCATAAATCTAGTTATTTGTTCGCCTGAAATAATTCGGGAACGTATGGTATAAATCAAAATAGGGAATTGCATCGGACATCATTTTTGTCACTGATGCAACAAATATGGAAGTTTCCTTCACATGTCTACCTTAAAACTTCTTGAAACTTCTTGAAATGTATTAATGTGTCATATTTGTTCCCAACTTGTCAAATGTCAGCATTAAATCACGTGAAATCCTACCCGAGGTATTATTTTGTAATAATTGTCAGGACAGTGCATCCAAGACGTCAGTATATAGCAATTGTCACCAGCACACCGTATGTGGAACCAGTGTACAAAAATGATCACATGCTATTTCAGAGTTGTCATCGGGTAAACATCGCCACTATAGTGTACCCAAGGATCCATTGAGACATAATCCACAGCACAGAGCATTCAAGGCATCAGTGTATAATAGTAGTACCAACCACACGGTTTGTGGAAGGAGAGTGCAAACATGGTCACACTTTGTTTCATAGTTATCATTAGGTAAAAGACGCCACTATGGTTTATACAATCATTGAGTAATATTTGTCAGGGGAGTGCATCCATGGTACCAGTATGTAATAACCAGCAGCATAGTTTGGCACCACTGTGGATTAAGCCTCCGTACTGATGAATAGGTCATGTTTGCTCAAGGCGGTTTTGGTGTGACAGGCGACAGAGGCAGAAACAATAAGTCACTCAATACTCATTGAGAACATGTCTTTGAATTACTGAGTGAATCAGTTCTGAACAATATTCCAGTTAGTAAACAGACTGCACACGTTGAATCAATACTGACTACTGCCTGATACACTACATGCATGATATCCCTTCGACACTTTGTACAAAGTTTGCAAAAACACCATTGAGGCAGAAGATGTAAGCTCTTTTTCAATATCTGTCTTTCTATTTCAGGACGAGCCTATACATGACATTGTCATCTACAATCTTATATACACAGCACTGGTCTTCCAAATTTTAAAAAGTCCTCAACCCATTTCTGAACTTGAGATTCACTACAATCACCTTGCAGAGCTAGTACTTTTAGCTAGATCTTTGAACAGGTTCGCAATCTCAATGTTACCAGTCTCTTTCGCAAAGTCAAGAGCTAGCTTTCCCTCTTGGTCTTTTATCCTTGCAACGTCAGATTTCTTTAAAATCTGTTTCACAGCTCTATGATTTTCACTTTGAGCCGCGTAATGAAGAGCCGTCCTTCCCTCTTTGTCTTGAGCAGATGGATCAGCACCTAAGCGTAAGAGTGTCTCTACATTACGAGTACACCAGCCTTCAGTCGCAAGTGCTGCACAATGAAGTGGCATCCTGCCTTGCCCATCTAGTTTATTAAGATTGGCGCCTCTCTGTAACAACAGCTTAATACTGTCTGAACATCCTTTTTCTGCTGCATAGTGGAGAGTTGTCTTCCCGCAATAACTCAGTAAATTCACATCAGAGCCGTGGTCCATGAGAGGTTTAGCAATAACACAGACTCTTCGTGTCACTGCATATTGGAGAGGTGACATTCCTTGTTCATCTAAGGCACATTTATCAGCTCCTTGATTCAGGAGTAATGATACGGTTTTCACGTTTCCATGTTTTGCTGCATCATGAAGAGCTGTTTTGCCATGTTCGTCCCTTATTGATACATCAGCACCTGTTTCCAATAGCAGCTGCACAGACTCACTATTGGGTAGTTGTGAAGCATAATGCAGAGCTGTTTTGCCTTGTTTGTCTTGCTTACATGGGTCAGCACCTTTGGCCAATGCTAGAGTTATACATTCACAGCCTTGCTTCTCTGCTAAATAGTGAAGAGCAGTCTTTCCATCTTGATCTCGTATGCCAGGGTTACTTCCTTTCTCCAAGAGAAGTTGAACACTTTCCCTTCTAGTCTCATCTGCAGAATTAGGGTGGTCACTCCAAATTCTGTAATCTGCATGAGAGGCATAGTGAAGAGCTGTTTTGCCAAATTTGTCCTTGGCACATGGATCAGCCCCATTAAGCAGCATGAGCTTCAAATGTTCAGCGTTGCTTTTCTCTGCTGCATAGTGAAGAGCAGTCCTACCAAGTCCATCTGTCACACCTGGTTTCGCATTATTCTCCAAAAGTACGGCAGTACTGTCACTGCACCCAGCGGCATAATGAAGGGGTGTTTTTCCAAGGTTGTCTTGTTGATTTGGGTCGCAGCCTGCCTTTAAGAGAAGAGTGGTAGTTGCACTGCTGAAAGGATTGTCTGCAGCAAAATGTAGTGGAGTCTTGCACTCGTGATCTGTTACATTTGGATCTGCCAATTCCTTTAAAAGAAGTTGAACACCTTTATAGCAATTCATTTCTGATGCATAATGCAGTGCTGTCTTTCCGTCACAATCTTGCCCAGAGATGTCAGCATCTGCCTCAGCTAAAAATTTTATACTATCAACGTCTTCACATTTGGCTGCACAGTGCAGAGGTGTTTGGCCAAATCTGTCTCTTGAGAATGCAGTGAGACCTTTCTGTAGGAGAACCTTTAGGTTATCAACGTTTAAACTTTCAGCAGCATAATGATGTAATGTCCTGTCATTCTCATCCTGCACATGCAGATCTACATTGTGTGCCAACAGAAGTTTCAGACATTCCCCGTCGTTGTGCCATGATGCACAATGAAGTGGAGTTACGCCACGTTGGTCGCTTAAACAAGGATCAGCTCCTCTCTCCAGAAGTAACTTAACACCAGCATAATTGTTAATCACAACTGCATTTAACAAAGCACTTTTTTCTAAGCCCATCTTGAATACAAGGATCAGCTCCCTCATCTAACAGTAGTTTCAGAATATCAGTGTTGATTTTAGATGCATAGTGAAGGGCAGTTTTGCCCCTTACATCTTGAACTTGCAGATCAATGGGTGTGTCCAGCAATAGCTTCACAATGTCAGTCCTTCCTCTTTCAGTTGCACAGTGTAGAGCTGTTTTACCCATAGCATCCTGAAGACATGGATCACTTCCTGCATTAAGTAGCAATTTAACATTGTCACTACATCGTCCTTCAACAATATAGTGTAAAGCAGTCTTCCCGTCCTTGTCTTTAATATTTGGATCAACACCTGCTTGCAACAAAGTGTTCAATAGTCCAGTCTGTTTCTCTGCTGCATAATGCAAAACCGTTTTGCCAGTTGCTTCTTGAACATTCGGGTCGACACCTTTACCCAACAGAAATCTGGTTATGTTATCTAAAGTGCGTGCATGAAGTGTGACCCCAAATGTATTATGAAATAGAAAAAACAATAGGTTATATTTATGTCCATCTTTGTCTGTCTGATTCACAGTAAGTCCTCGTTCCAGCAAAAAAGACAGAGGCTCATCGTCTCCAGTCTCCATACAAGACAGTACTGCTGCAAATGCAGCTGTTCTTCCCCGACTGTCCACAATTTGTAAAAGGTCCTTTCTGATATCCAGAAGATATCTGAGTTTGTCAATAGTGTCAGTCGGCGATCTTGCTGCCTTGTGAAGCACTGTCTCACCGGTGACATCTGTCATGTCAAGGGAAGCACCCGACTCGTGCAGACATTTCACCACGTCAATATCGGCATTCCTACATGCTGCAAGAATGGCACGTTTACAGACTTGATGCTTATCAATCTTTGCAGGAAAATTTGATACAATGTCATCAACATCAACATTGACATCAGCACCATTCTTTAGCAGAAACTTAACCATTGCTAGGTCTCCACATTCAGCTGCTTTGTAAAGGATTGTCTTGTTGTCTATATCTACACCTTCGATATCACTACCTGCCTGTACTAACGCTCGCACTATGTCTATGTATGGACGGCACAGATGCTCTACCCATAGCATTGGAATGCATCCCCGGAAGTTAGAAATATTTACAGGTGCATGCTTTCCGATCAGCAACTTCACACACTCTAACTGATTATACCAGACAGACAGATGTAGTGGTGTGTTGCCATCTCCATCTTGGACATCTACTGGAACTCCTCTGTCCAGAAGTAGATTGGCACATCCAGTATTACCATGCTTAATGGCAATGAAAAGTAGGGATGTACTAATGTTAAGTATCTCTTGGTGACTGTCTCCCACCAGCTCCAACAACTCAAGCAGACATGCACCTACACCATAAGCAGCTGCTTGCTGTAGAGCAGTGGGATAGTACTCCTCACGACTATATGGGTCAACCTTTTGGGCACGTATGTTGATCACGTTCACCCCACGAACCGTAAGGATTTTGAGAGCTGCAGTGGATAAATGAGTCGCTGCTAACAATGTCATGTGCCCAACGTCAACATTGCACCCAGTATTCAGGAGTGTGGTGATTATCTCGCTTATGTGCTCCATGTTGTATGGCTGATATGCAGATGATCTATAACCAACACTCAGCTCTTTGAATAATTGCACTAAACAGTGTTTGAACTCTGTCTGACGTCTGTCCTGGTCCTTCAAATGTTTCACAACGAAATCCACAATAAATGCATTTCCAAATAGAACAGCCAGTTTAAAAAAATTGTGTACATTGGATATTGAGTCCCATGTGAACTTGTCCTCAAACTGTGATTCGTCTTTTCTTGGCATCAGGACAAAGCTACACACTGTATCAGACATGTCTTTGTCCATGCCCCTTGACATGCAGAGAGCTCTGAAACAAGCTGCATTTGGTCTCAGGCCAAAATCAATGAGAGACCTGACGAGGACACTGTTGTTCACAAAGATTGCACAAGGTAAACACTCCTGCAAAATGTCTCTTTCAAAATGGTCAAGCCCCAATGCAAATATATTCTTTGTCAGAACTTTCAACTGTTTCTGTACAACATAAGAAAGAAGATATTCCACTGTAAATATTTCATTTTGTTCGATTCCATGTGTCAAGTCGTCACAACAAAGCTGTACCTTATTGTTTAATTTCTGTTTGAAAATGCTGATACTTTTGTTCTCATTTATCCACTTATGGATCAAATGCTGAATGAATACTTCATCTTTAAGAGAAGGGTGGTCGACGATCTGTCTTGATAGTGCAGGTGTTAGTAGTACATCTGTAATTCGATCAGCTAGCATCCCATAGTTTTCTTCCTTAAGATGTATCGCCAAATCATTATCGCCTTCATTTTGTTTTGTTTTGACAAGTTCGACAAGCATTGACACAGAGCACGTTCTGATACAAATGTCTGGATAATTCTTGGACAGACTGATGAAAACAGAATCAAAGATGGATTGATGTTGAAACACAAATCCGTTTTCACTGTGTTCCAGATATATACCGCAGAAGGATTCAGCTTTGTGTCTGATGTTGGCCAAACTGTGATAAGTAGGTAATCCGGAACAGATCTCCTTCACAATCTGCAGGGATTCTTGGAATTCCTCTGTACCCTGCCGTGTGAGGAGATCATGTGTTTGTAGACATCCTCCTCTCAGCAGCACCAGCAACAGAACAAAATAACCAAGTCCATCACTCTCCTGTAACCTGTCTACCTCCTCCAAAATGTAATCATGTGGCTTCAGGAAGAACTCAACTCCTTTACTCTGTGCCTGCTTGCTCCCAGCAAAATATTTACAACACTGAGGAAAGCCAATACTTGACCCTGAATGAGCCACCAGTTCCATTTCTTTCTCCGTGAAGTTGGTTTTGTTTTGACACATGATCTTCAGCATCCTCATTTTTTCATTTGGTCGAAGAGAATACTGTCCGTCATCAATTGTCACATGGGTGATATTCTTCATTAAGCGATTACTCTGCAGTTGTCTCTCACACTGAGCACTGATTTCCGGTCTCGATGTTATGATCAGGTAAACATGACCAGCTTCTACAGAGGGCCATATTACGTTAAATAATCTTGACCATTCGTCTGCAGTCGATTCGACAAAGTTGCTCGAACCCAAAAATGTTGTCGACCATTATAATATATTGGCATTTAAGTTGTCTCCTTCTTTGTGGTATAAGCTTCCATTCTTTGGCTGATGTTAGTATCAGTGGAGTTCGTCCTTCCTCTTTGGCTACCTCTGACAGGAGTCTCAGTCCCAGTCTCGACTTACCAGAACCAGATCTCCCTTTGATAAAGATGATGCCATGTTGTTTTAACAGTCTTAGTGATGACCTCTCAAAGTAAGTAGACATGTATTCTGTATGGTCATGATCTATTAACGCTTTGGTCGATTCTGGAATATAACAAAGATGGCGTTACAATTCAGAAACAATTATCTTATTACCAGATAGGATATCTGTTTTCATGTTTCATGTATTCAGAGAGGGAGACCCTCTGAGCCACATTATTTTCCCTTCTACCTAGCCCTCCATAATACTAAATATCTAAGTAAAGCAAGTTTTGATTTCCTGAGGTTCTAAATTGCCAATATCATTGGGGTTCCTTTTAACTTTAAATTGGCTTATTTGTTATTATCAAAAATGTGTAGATTCATAGACTGAGCGTTAGCCCAAGGTTTTATATGCTAGTAACATATGACATGTCAGTTTTGTCAAGGTATTCGCGGACTGTCGCATTAGCTTTGATTACTGTATTACATCTTTAGCGACAAATGATATCTTAGTTACAGAGAACTTTTATTCATGTATGCATTATTTGATGAAAATATCTTTAGTCTTGCTGCGGAAGATAAGTTGTCACTTCATGCAATCGTTTGATGTCTTTACGTATATATGTGGGGCAATCAACACAAGTCACGATATCTCCGGCGCACATGCACTCCAAAGCACTTGGTAAAATTAATGTTTTGCCTCACCACAAATGTTGACAAAGCGTCTGTCTGAAAAAAAAAGATAACATGTTAATATTTTCCTGGTACCCAGGTGGAGACTAAACGTCCTCCATGAGAATGAGGAAATCACCCCATGACAACGACAATCGTTGCTCACTTCATAAACCATCTATGCATTTATGCTGTACTACGCCCATGTGACTAAAACATATGTAAGAGTAAAATGTTTGCCGTTTTTGACATTCCCAAATGCTATGTTGTTGACAGTTTCATGTCAGTGAACTTAAATTCACTATTTCCATGCCAAACCATAGCTGAAATGTGATTAATCATGTAATAAAGACAGGTTGCTGCCCTTTGACGAGCCATGATATGGCGATCTATAGCCGAATCAAAGGTTTGATAATAACATGATTATTCATAGTCAGATCCATATCTAGGACAGCCAATGTCGCACTCAGGTATACCTTGACCTGTCCTCTTCACGAACCGAAACACTTGAGATATCTCACATCCTATCCTTAAGTTTACTGATATTCTTCCATCGAAATTCATCTGATCAACGAATCGATTTAATATAATTAGGGCTAAAACTGAATGTTATCAGTTTTCCAAATTCAGAAATAGATAACACGTTAGAGATAAACTGTATGAACTTGAAGTATAACACTCTCTCACCAGCACAACCGTGCACGGCCATTGTCAACCCTCCTTGCTTCTCTTGAACCGTAGAATTGTACTCTCAGCTGTCAACGAAAACTATACTGTATCAATTAACGTACAGTTGAATAGTTGAGTATTCACCTATATGTGACGGTACAGGGAATACAACCATGTACTACTTTTCATGAATAGTTTTAAGTTCTTGCTTGGTTTAAGTACCAAGCAGACTTTAGGGTGTATAAAGGTGTGCTAGTTGCTGTGTGAAATAGTTCATGCTTGGTTTAAGTACCAAGCAGACTTTAGGGTGTATAAGGTGTGCTAGTTGCTGTGTGTAAGGTGTGGAAATAGTTCATGCTTGGTTTAAGTACCAAGCAGACTTTAGGGTGTATAAGGTGTCCTAGTTTGCTGTGTGAAATAGTTAATGCTTCTTTCTTGCAAGCTTCCAACCAGGACCTAGTATGCAGGTGTTGCTATAAAATGGTCGATGCCTAAAATGTTTTAATCCTTGCTTGAAGATGTTAATAAGTACTGAAAATGTATAAAATTACCAAAGCAACATGGTACTATAAAGAAGTAATTTAATGTCTGAATGCGCCTGTGTCAGGCTATTTGGTGAAATAAGAATATTCAATTCATTGCTTAAAAACTATTACACATCGGTCGTTTTTTCTCAACGGATTTGCCTGTTTTCATTGTTTGCACTCTGATTACCTCCCCACTCTCACTCCAAGACTCTGCTTGAAGTTTATGAAACGAATACAACAACAGTGTGTTTGAAAAGTATGTCCCTCGTACTGACGCCCGAAAGAAAGGCATCATCTACTTGCACAGCTTTCATAAATGGCTCATGTTGAGGCTTTGAAATGATGAGATCCTGTTGCAGAGCAGTGGTATTTCAGTGTGCTGGCATTATGAAATCGGCATTATCCCGTACGAGTAATGCAAAAAGTGTTTTAAACCCATGTCACCTCACCTCATGCATTCAAACGAAAATTCGTCAATGCATTTTGTACATTCGCACGCGTATCTTAATACCATATCTGGAAGTCATGGACGCTAATGTGTTATAGCTATTGTCATCCTTGCTAGTTTTCCTAAACCGTTCACTATTAGTTTGTTTTATTTTGTCACCCCTGCTAGTTCTCATAAAGCGTTCACTATTAGCTTATTTTATTTTGTCATGGGGTGAATATTGTAAACGCTACAGTTTGCAATATTTCAG